AAAATAAAATAAAATAAAATAAAATAAAATAAAATAAAATAAAATAAAATAAAATAAAATAAAATAAAATAAAATAAAATAAAATGAATTGAAATAAAATAAAATAATATGGAATAAAATAAAATTAAATAATACAAAAAAGAAATAAAAAAAGTAAAAAAAAAAAAAAATAATATAAACTATTTTAAAAAGAAATGAAATAAATGATATAACGAAAATCTTTTTTGTGAGCCACGTTTTTATATGTGCACTGAAAATTCTGAAAAACAAGCCATTCTCGTTTTTGGACCAACTTAGCCGATATCGGTGAAAGAGATCATATGCCTTAACAGTCTTGCTTCATACAAACAGTTTCGATGTATTTTTACCTGTAAAGCCTTTCTCTCTTTACTTCTTTATCCGATGTATTTCTTTATTTCAAGTGTTTGCAGTGTCAATTCAATTGTTTGAATATTTTAAAGTACACTTGGGACATGTAAAGAATTATTTCATTGATATGTTTTTCACAGAAATCGACTTTTTTCATCAAATTTTGATATACTCCAAAAATCGCTTGTGATAACGTGTTGCTGAGCTTAAGAAGATATACTTGAAAAATTGTTAAAGTAGACCTTGGCAGTCATGTATTGGACATTTGAAAGCACGCATTGCAGCATTGAATACAATTGAATATAAATGATTTGCTCTGTTATGGAGCAACTATCTCTACCCTCTATACATGTATGGAAGGAAGAGGAACAATGCAATAAAAGAGGGGAAGTGAGATAATGATATTGAAGTTAACTGTAACGTTTTTTAAGTATATTGAGATTTATTCTGATGGTACTCGCTATCGCTTGATGTTCTTAAAATCTATGGAAAGGTTTGCATTTAACTCAACTAATTAAATAGATATTTGTGGGTGAAAAGACTTTTATTCAAAGCTATGTATTCTCACAGACGCACATGGTTCTCAGTAGATTTAAAGTAATAGTTGAATTTTGTCAATTTAGGATAGATATGTACTATTACGTTAGACGAGTCAGCTCAACCGAATTTAAATTATTATTTTAGTTTCCCGTATTAGTTTAGCCTTGAGCTCATTTAAATCAGATTAAAAGTGTCACTTTTGAGTGCCAAGCTTACAAAAATAAAAATTACACATATGTAGGTGTCTACATACTTAACGTTTATTGTCTTTATTTCCATCAATCACGCTTGCACCGCACGTGCTCAAGAACCTTTTAGACCGTGCAAATTGGTTTTTGGCAGCCAAGTAAAGCAATGTGATTTTTCCTCACTCAGTGTTCTCTTTTCTTTCTTTGGGCACAAGGTGAGAGACACAATTAAGATTGTGCAATGAGATAGCGTTTATTCAATTTACAGGGCAGAAGAACAACGACAAACAAACACACACAAATACACAGAAAATAGTATATAGTCTGAAGGCAATGTTGGTTTCGTGTGTACCATATGTGCACCAACAAAAGATTATTTGTATGTGTGTCTGTTTATAATTGTCTGTACGCAAATTTTGTGCGATTAAACGAGATACCTAAACAAATCGAAAATATTGTACAAGTACAAACCTACGCGGTCGCAAACACCTACTCACTGTCTGCGGTGTTAGGGTTGTTCAAGTTAAAAATATATGAAATATTTGCAGAAAATTTCGCTATAAATAAATTTTTTTTTAAGTCCAAAATAAATACACCAATAAAGTGGCAATCTTATTAAAAAATATTTGCAAATTGTTGTTACTAAAGTTTAAATAAAAATAAGCGATTTCAAAGATGGCAACTCTCAGACAACAAATGGCAACTACAACAACTAACTAATGCATACAAATTATTTACAAAGTGGTTTCCAAAAGCTCGTGGAGCTGTAGAACATTTCACAAAACAAAGGAAAAAATTCAGTTAAATCTAGATAAGTGCATGCGACGAAAGTCGGGTAAAACGTAATGATTACTCGCGTCACGGTCCTAACAGACAACGTATATTTGCTATCTCGTTTCATCGTTGTTTTCAGACCATTCGGTGCTCTTAATAAAAATATATTCTTTAAGCCTTTTGTAGACAACTATTTGATAGATTCCCAGTTTTTCAGGTCTGATTTATGATACAGCTGAACTTTCTCAGAGATAAAGACAAACGGTTTCCTTATTCACTTTCTGCTTGCAACTGCAGGAAATATTGTTATAGGGCAGACCCAATGTAAGCTTTATCAAAATAACAAATGCTTCATTAGAATAACTATTAATCTGTCTACACTTTTCCTGAACATACCTATCAAGTTGTTAATGATTTTACGCATCGGAGACAGCTGTTTCCCTGACTTGCATTTGGTCTTGATTTTCATTTGTGCTGAAGTATTTGTTTAGATTTAAAATAAAACCATTGCCTTCAACGTTCCTAGCAGACATGTTGTTAACTATGCAATGGTTTTGTCTTAAGAGACTCCTGACTTAGCCAACTCGTATATTTTTTCATTGACGAAAATGTTCTTATGACGTGGAACCTAGTCGAGTTGACCTGCCTTTCCACACTTGTTAATTACGCTGCAGTTAATATTTCGCGTTGACAATACTAATAATGCTGCTCGACTGTCTCTGCATAAGGTTCATGTATGCATCCTCGCGTAGTTACTCAATTGAGCTCAACAGGTCTTCTCTATCTCTAGCATTTTTGCTTCAAAGATGCTATCTAAGTTTAATAGACGAAATGGGGGCGGTGAAAGGCAGCGATACTGTACTGGTATAAGATGTTTATGATATTTTCGAAGTTGTTGTTGTTGAAGTTGTGACACGGCTGGTCATTGTGGAGAAGACATGAACTAAAGAGGGGTGCGAGCAATAGCATAAAAAGGGTACACATTTTCTTAATATATATGTGTACAGTAGCAGGCGGCAGGTAAACAGATATCTACTAAAATTTGAATTGTGAAGAATCACGGTTAAATGTAAGAACCCTTTATTAGTGAAGGTGCTTCCTTCCACATATCGATTAAATGGTCATTTGCTGTTTTATTATAACAACTTTATAGCAGAGGTATGACTGAAAGTGGGGGTCGGTCCTTAAGAAAGAATCCGCTACTTCTGATAATGAACACAGATGAAGTTGAGATAGAAGAAAGACATATTAGGTGTACTAAAAGGTAATCCACTATTTTTGCATAAAAATTAATGGTTTATTTTTTCTTTTCGTATTTGACCTTTTTATGCAATTTTTTAGCGTAGAAACGGTCTTTACACGTTTCATCAATATTTTTTACAATTGGCTTTATACTCCGTGGAGCATGATTAACTGTAACAGTGTCAGGTCCATTAATGCTATTCACATCTTCAGTCGCCGGGCTTGCGTTTCCGCACTTATCGAAGAAAAACTGTAAAATAAAGCGTATTTTCTCTTTGCCAGTGTCCATCTTTGACGCACGCTCAAATAAAACTGAATTAAATAATCACAAAACTATCGTAAAAATTCTTTTAGTACGAAATGTCATCTTTCTAATGCCATCTAGCTGAATCCGATAGGACTAATACAACGTGAGGTAGAGATAAATAACGCCAACTATTGGAAAAATAATGGATTTCTTTATACTACACCCAGGGCCTAAAAACTACACAGGTGCACGAATGCCCAGAAAGATTGGATGTCCAGAGCGAGATGAATCGTTTTCTGCTCATCAAGTAGCACTGTTGGTTTCTGTGAGAAATTATATTTTTTTTAGGTTACGTATACGCCCCGACACTGAAATTTTAGTATTCTAACGAGAAACTACAACTGCATGGGCTAACTTCAAATGTAAATTTAAAAATACTTTAAATTAAATCTAAGAAACATAACGGTTATCCTTGTTTGAAGATTTGGCTCTGTCAAACTTTAGACAGACATTGTTTGGACCTGCATGAAGGAGAGCTGAGATTTTCATTGCCTTCACCATTTCACAATTGGTGCTTATAAGCAATTAATCATAACACAGCCGTTCAGCTGAGTAGTGACTATAAAGCTTTTATAAGTGCAAGCAAAAGCGCTTAGTCTCTTCTCTACCAAACGGAAGTATAACAATGCATGACTCTTCGTTTGTACCTATGAACCGGTATATCTGTAAGGAGAGTTCTATGGATTTCCGCATGCCAACTTTTTTGATATTTTTTTTTCGCTTTATACGGTACTTACTTGCATTTTCATTGGATCCGTATTCACTTGACACATGTACTTGCCGGCATCCTCCATTTTCACATTCCGTATGACCAACGTCCACGTATTGAAGTCATTATGTGTGACTGACAATCGATCATTGTTTGTTATCACATGTTCGTGAATGGCCAGAATCGCCTTCGCATCGGCCTTTATCCAAGCGACCTGTGGTTTAGCGTTTTATGCATTCAAAATGTAAACGGAGATAAAGGGCGACAAGTTTGCAGACAATTTAAGGATAGGCGAAACCAAGTGAGCGTAGGGGTGGTGCATGATGACAACAGCAAGTAGAGCCATTGAAGTGGGCGTTGAAGCGTAGATCATTTTTTGATATCCAAATGGAAGGCATGTATGGGAATGCGTGTGTATGTGTGAGTGTGAACATATGATTTGTTCATGATGGCATTGGTTCGTAGTTGTTTTTTTTTTTTTTTTTTTTTTGTAGCATATGTCGGTAGTGCGGTTATGTTTTGGATTTAAGTGGTTTATTTTCCCCCACCAGTACACATGTATATGTGTGTTTGTGGCCACAGCGCAGCAGTTGTGTTCAAATTACATTTTGATATGAGTTCAAGCAAGTTTCAGTGTGTATGTATATGTGAGTGAGTTTTTTCGTATGCATTTGTATATATTTTTTTATTTCCATTTTATTTTTGCATATCCGATTCAAATTGGTTTAGTTGTAGAAGGATTTTTTTCGTCGTTTTTGTTGTTGGTTATCAAAACCGGTCGTTATTGCAATGTTTCATTAGTTTTATGCAGATAGTCGATATTGTTAGGAGAAAAAAAAACAAACAACAAATATAACAATATAGCAAAAAATAAACCGCTAACAGTAATCATCGGCCAAACGGGATTAGAGTGTAGTCCATTACCGGAAGAGGTTAGTTGTGCGAATGGCGGCAGCGGTAGTCACAACAGGCGCAGCCAGACCAGTCATGTGGTCATGTCGTAGTTTTTATTATTTTTGTTGTTTTCATAGTCATCATCATTAGCATCAGCGTTTATTCAACAATTTCCGGCATTTTTGCATAGCCGTTTTCAGGTTTTTATTTGTGAGTTGAGCGTTGATTTGATTTTTATTTGCGCAATGTCCACACATTAACGGATTTGCGTTTATATGATTGTTTTTTTGGTGTTGGTGGATTTTTGACGCATTAAACACATTTTTTTTTGGTGGGTTTTAAATTTCATGTAAATTTAATATAAATTTGTTGTGAAACGAATTTGTTGAAATTATTAAATTTATTTTAATTAGTTTGATTTAATTTATTTCATTTATTTTAATTTTATTTTAATCAGTTTGAATTTAGTTAATTTAATTTAATTTTTTTTATTTTATTTAATTTTATTTTATTTTAATTCATTTATTTAATTTAATTTATTTTATTTTTTCATAATTTAATTTTAATTTTTTTCATTTTATTGCATTTTTTATTCGTTTATTTAGTTAATTTATTTTATTATATTATTTTTGTTTTTATTTTTATTTTATTTAATTTTATTTTAATTCATTTATTTAATTTAATTTATTTTATTTTTTCATTATTTAATTTTAATTTATTTCATTTTATTGTATTTTTTATTCGTTTATTAAAGTTAATTTATTTTATTATATTATTTTTGTTTTTATTTTTATTTTATTTAATTTTATTTTAATTCATTTATTTAATTTAATTTATTTTAATTTTTCATTATTTGATTTTAATTTTTTTTATTTTATTGTATTTTTTATTCGTTTATTTAGTTAATTTATTTTATTATATTATTTTTGTTTTTATTTTTATTTTAATTTATTTTATTTTATTTTATTTTAATTCATTTATTTAATTTAATTTATTTTATTTTTTCATAATTTAATTTTAATTTTTTTCATTTTATTGTATTTTTTATTCGTTTATTTAGTTAATTTATTTTATTATATTATTTTTGTTTTTATTTTATTATATTTTATTTCATATTCATTGGTTTTATTTTATTTAGTTTTATATATATTTTTTTAATTTATTTCGTTTAATTTTTCATTTTAATTAAATTAAATATATTAATTTATATTTTACAATTTATTCAAATTTTTTTTTTTATTTATTGGAACGATTTTCCAAATTTCCGTTGACAAAGAAAATCGATTTGTGTACGAAGCGCGTTACCCGTGAGATCATTTACATACAATTCAGCCATTTAAACGTACCAAGTGACCATTGAGGTAGTTTTTTTTTTGTATTTCCCAAGAGATATTTTCAATTCGTTGCCAGTTTTGTAATTGTTGTTTTCGATTTGCAGTTAGTTTGATAGTAAAAGTAACCAATACGCCAGAATGGTAGGAATGTTACGAATGCGGTAGTTGTAATTGTAGTTTTAGTTGTTATTGTCGATTCAGAGAGACATCATTGTGAGCAGTGGTTAGCGACACAATAGTGTTGGTGTTAGTGCAATGTACGTCATGTTGTTGCCAGATGTCAGCGCAATTTGACGCCGTTTTCAATTTAGAATTTTTTGTATTTTGCCGGATGGAGATTATGTGTTTTATTTATTTATTTTTCCGTTTTTTTGTTAGCGTTTGTGTGTGTGTTTGAGTCATGGAAAAGGATATTTCAAGTGCAATTAGTGAACATTTGATTATTGTTAGCAATGTTTTTTTAATTTTTTTATTATTATTTTGCAATGTTGCATTTAGTATTCGTTCGTTGCAGTGTTGAGTGAGTTACATTTTGTGCAATTTTCAAGTTTTATATGGTGATTAATGGTGGCGTGTCGTTTGGATATATGCATTTAATTTAAAAATTTCATTTAAAGATTTTTTATTATATTTTAATATTTTTGTGATTTTCGAAAAATAAGTTGTTGTTGCAAATTTTGCGATTTTTTTTATTTATTATTTTATTGTAAAATAATGAATATTTCATATTAAACGAATATTTTTTTATTGTGTTTTTTTCATTGTATATTTTATTTTAATTATTAATTTTATTTAATTTTTGCGATGAAAAATTTTTATTAGAATTTTTATGTTTTTTTTTTCGTTTTTCGTCGCATATATTGATTACAAGATGATTGATTGATTTACAAGATTGCCGATTTTTCCAACGTTGCAATTATGGGTTTGAAGAAAATATAAAGTTTGTCTTACATTTAGTTCAAATTCTCGTAAATGTCTTTTTTATATTTATGCACATTAAATTACAATATTGAAAATCCAATAAAAAATTAAATAACAAAAACTCATATGGTGCAGTTGGTGCATGGAAGAATATTTTTTATTTAACTAATATCAGGCATGCTCATAAATATTATATATATATGAATTTTAATATTTATAATACAGCTGAAATACTTACATATGTTACAACAAGTATTCATTATATAAATTAAAAATTTTTATTTTAATCTATTTTTTATGTAATTAATTAATTAAATTATATTTTCGTATTTTTTAAAATATCTTGCAGAGAAAAATATATATATATATATGTATTTAAAAATGTCAAATAAATACTGGAATTTATTTTCATAATCTATCCTCAGATACGCCTTATAGTGTGTAGAACAGTGCCCATTTTACGAAAGTTTTTTGGGGAAAGATCTTGGTTTGCGAACTTAGAAAACTCAACTCGTGCAAGAATTTAAGACGAAGGACTAAAAAGCTTGCCACACATCTCGTAGAATTGTCCAAATGATTTGGATATGAATCCCAATTAACACAAGAAATAAATGTTCAGCGATGAAGCTGTAATTGAAGGTGTAATCCACACGCCATTGTTGAGATCCCAATAGATCCTCAGAAAGCCACTGTTTGATGAGCTTTATGGACAGAAGGAATCATTGGTCCACACTACATCAAATAAGAAGCTGACAGCCATGAATAATGAATTTCTCATGCTTGAATTTGAGGTATTTATTTGGTGGACCAACAAGACGGCGCTATGAACTATACGGCCAAACAAAACGATCAACTGACTGAAAGAAACTCATGAGAAGTCGCTTGCCGACGCAGCTAAGCTAGAGACGAGTGACGCCTTGTAAGAGAATATTTGAGGCGTTATTGTTGACGTAGCTCTCCAATTCTTGGAAAAATTAGTTGAAATTTGTACCTTTCGTCTGGGCCATTCGCAAACCAGGCGGCTTTTATCTCCATAATTAATAACATAATTAATAACATAATTAATAAAATAATTAATAACATAATTAATAACACAATTAATAAAATAATTAATGACATTAATTTTTGAAACCCGAATGCCAAAACAATTTCTGAATGCTCGCAAGAGGTTTTTTTCTATGATCAATTTGCGGTACTTTTTTTGATGGATGTATTCAAAGAATAATATTTTATTAATTAAAATGAAATAATAACTAAAATATATGTACATCATACAAAAATGTTAAATATATACAAAAACAAAAAAATAATTGTCTAAATTTAAATAAGAAAATAATTACGATTTATGCATATCAAATGTTAGCATGCAGTATTTATATTTCATAAAATAATAAATTAATTATAATTTGAAAATATTTTATTGCAGGCAGAGTACAGAAAAATATTTGTAGATATTTATTGCATTGCCATATGCCATGAAATATTTTATGAATTACTTAAACACAAATAGTTGAGTGCAACAATTAAGTTAGTTTGAATATTAAATGGTGCAAAGTTTGTTTCGGTTTTAAATTGGTGCGCTTAAAAGTCGTTAAAAGAATTCTAAAAAAAAGAAAAAAAAAAATAAAACAAAAAAGAAAAAGATAAAAGATACGCGAAAATATTTAAAAAAAAAACTATAAATACCATGAATAATTTAACTGTGTATGCAATTGCATGTGTATACGTGTGAAGGTATATTAAATGTGGATTGCTGCTGAGTGGTAATAAATAAAATAAATGGTAGATACCAACAGTACGAGCGTTGAATGTTGGAGCAAAAAAAAAAAATCAAAAGAAAAATGATAAGGAAAAAAGAGTAAAGCGAGTGACAGATGAAAATGTAAATTTTAATTTTTTACCACAATTTCTTTCCATTTTTTTCATGAGCAACTTCTGTTGCTAGTGAGAGTGATTTATTTTATAGTTATATGAATACATATTTATACAATATATTTCCATATGTGCATATGCAAAAGAACATGTATTTTTTTTTTTGCGTTTTTAATAATATTTCTGTGTATAC